AAGAAGAAGAAGAAGAAGAAGAACAAGAACAAGAACAAGAACAAGAAGAAGAAGAAGAAGAAGAAGAAGAAGAAGAAGAAGAACAAGATGGCTCAAGACTTGGCAGAAAAGGAGGATGATAAATATGAAGGAAAAGCGGAAGAAAGAAAGAAGAAAAGGAGAGGAGGAGGCAGAGGAGAACGTGGCTTGTGTAGACAAAGAAGAAAAAACCGAGGCTGCAGGATTTCTGTAACGTTAATGAATACTTCGGGAACTCTTTAGAGGGCTTTACGTTCAAGAACTTTCTGATGAAAGCCAGAGTTTAAAGCGTTGATTTGGAGGGCTTGTCCAAATGTAACGATCTCAGTCATTTGTACTTTCTTGATTTCTCATTGAAAAGGGTCATAAAAAACGAATTCCTTTAAGAGCAAAAGACTTCAACCATTGAAGTAGCATTTAAAAGTAGCGATTGAAAATATTAAAATAAAAATGGAAAAGGTTTAACGCCCCTTATCAACACTATTACGTTATTTAAGAGGCGGGGCCTCTGAGTTTAACGTCCATCTCCGAAAGGACCTAACCAAGTGGGAAATTCAGATAAAGTGTCTTTCCAAAAGACACAACGTCGGACCGAGCTGAGGCTCGAATCCCCGAACCTGCAATCTCACGATGACGAGTTGGGGCGCCTAACCACTAGGCCACCGACGCCACTTAAAATAGTATTGGTGCTCTTGGATTTGTTTAATTAACCCTATCCGTACGCCCTGTGGTCATTTTGTACCCCCAGGGTTGTATTCTTAACATTTTAGAATACTTCTAGTGCGAAGATCTCTTTGAAAATCAGTCTTTCTAAAAAAAATCACATTTTGACAGACTGCTGTGCAAAGCGTACGGATCGGATTAACGAGTAAAATTCCTCTTTGGAAAGTGGTGGCACAGAGTTCCCTGCGTCGTATGGATACGATAGTAAAACACGACGTACGGATAGGGTTAAGTGGTGGCACAGAGTTCCCCACGTCGTATG